GAATTTTTTCGAAGTATAACTCAGCTTTCAAGCCAAGTTCACAGTATTCTCTAGACAGCCTTTGACCAATGAATTTGTAAAGTAGTGTTTCTAGGAGCTGGTCATTTCTGCCAAGCATGGAACTTTCAGATAGGCAGTCTTTGTACTGTTCTCTATTGAGCAGAAACTTGTCAGCTGTGTATTACAATGTAATGCCCCCCTGCCTAATCCCGTTTCTTTCATTTGCTTTTAACAGGTGTTTACATTTTAATGAACCTTTTGTTCACTTAATCTCTAGCATTTAGGTTAGCATTCAAGCAATTTAACCATTTGCACCACCCAAGGACTCCGATAAGGGTGATCCTTATAAATTATGCCAGATCTACCTTTTTAAGGATAATTGAACATTTTTCTTATAAATGAATTGGTTCCAACTTCTTACCTAAAAACTTTAGTATCAAATATGTACAATCCATAGTCTTTCTTAAGAGTCACAAGACAAAAGTAATATAAATGTATATTTGAAGAAACTAGCAAAAATCAAAGGGAAAAGTTCTATGAGTAAAATAAAAGAAAGAAGGATTAGGATTAAAAGTAATCAACCTCTTAGAAGAATGGTTTAAAACAGAAGAAAACAACAATGTCTAAAGATAGACAGTATAGGGCTAGGATAGCAGCTTTGCTTTATCATGTCTTCAAAATGCTTGACTCAATCTTCTTGTTCTATGTGACCTCTACTTTCAAGGCCATCCTTTGTTTTAATTCCATAAATTACATCTTTATCCTAACCAGCAGGATGGTAGAGTGTTGTTGTTGTTATGTGCCGTGGAGTCGGTTCCGACTCATAGCGATCCTGCACAGGGTTTCCAAGGCTGTTAATCTTTATGGGAGTAGAACGCCTCATCTTTCTCGCGCGGAGCAGCTGGTAGTTTCGAACTGCTGACCTTGCGGTTCGCAGCCCAATTCGTAGCCACTACACTAGAGTAGATGAATAAAATGTTAGCTAAGGATTATGTTCACCTTAAGACAATATCTTGAGAGTTATGACACAACACTTTTGCTAATAGACCACCAATTAGGTATATGACAACATCTAGCTAAAGGAGCTCTGGTAGCATAGTGGTTACGAATTGGGCTGTAAACCTCAGGATCAGCAGTTTGAAACTACTAGCTGTTTCGCGGGGGAAAGATGAGGCTTTCTGCTCCCGTAAAGATTTATAGCCTCGGAAACCCTGTACAGGGTCACTATGAGTCGGAACCAACTCAACGGCACATAAAAAAAAAAAAAAAAAAAAGCTCCCAGGATGCTAAGAGAAATAAACTTCTTTCTGACCAGCCATGAGCTCTGCTAAAACTGGGGGTTCTTTTGCAGTAGAATTGATATTGAATAATGCTGTCAAGTATTTTAGATGCCTTTCCCACACATTGTTGTTGTTAAGTGCTATTGACTCAGTTCCCACAATTCATAGTGACCTTGGATAGAGGTTCCAAGGAGTGGTTGCTGGGTTTGAACCACCCGCTTTTGGTTCAAATCAACCTTGAGGTTCAGTGCTTACAGTACAGTATCACACCAGGACTCCTTCCCACACATTTGTTGTTGTTGTTGTTAGGTGCCATCAAGTCAGCACGAACTCATAGCAACCTTTACGCACAGCAGAACGAAACATTGCCCGATCCAAGGCCAACCTCAGTATTGTTGCCACGCTTGGGTCCATCAATGCTGCCACTTGGCCAATCCATCTCGTTAGTCTTCCTCTCTGAATCTCCACCTTACCAAAGATGATATCCTTCTCCAGCGAATGGTCCCTCCTGACAATATATTCGAAGTGTTGGAGATGAAGTTTGGTCATCTTGGCCTCCAAGGAGCACTCTGATTGCACTTCTTCCAAAATGGATTTGGCACTTTCAATATTCTCCTCCAACACCATAACTCAAAAGCATAAATTCTTCTATGGTTTTCCTTATTCACTGTCCAGCTTTCACATGCATATGAGGTTTTTGAAAATACCATGGCTTGGGGCAGGTGTTCCTTAGTCCTCAAGCTGACATCTTTGCTCTTCAACACTTTAAAAAGGTCTTATGTACTAGATTTGCCTAATGCAATACATCATTTGATTTCTTGACTGCTGTTTCCATGAGTGTTGATAGTTGATTCAAGAAGAATGAAGTCATTGACAACTTCAATCTTTTTTCCATTGATAAGAATGTTATTTATTGGTCCAGTGGTGAGAATTTTTGTTGTCTTTACATTGAGATGTAATGCATACTGAAGGCTGTGCTCTTTGATCTTCTTCAGTAAATGTTTTAAGTCCTCTTCATTTTCAGCAAGCAAGGTAGTATCAACTGTGTATCATAGGTTGTTAATGAGTCTTCCTCCAATCCTGATGCCATGTTTTTCTTCATATAACCCAACTTCTCAGATTATTTGCTCAGCATACAGGTTGAATAGGTATGGTGAAAGAATACAACCTTGTCGCACACCTTTCTTAATTTTAGATCGTTCAGTGTTCCCATGTTATGTTCAAACAATTGCCTTTTGGTCGAGGTACAGATCCCACATGAGCATAATTAAGTGTTCCAGAATACTCATGCTTCACAATGTTGTCCATAGCTTGTCATGATCCACACAATCGAAAGCCTCTGCATAGTCAACAAAGCACAGGTAAACATCTTTCTGATATCCTCTGCTTTCAGCCAAGATCCATTGGACATCAGAAATGATATCCCTCGTTCCATGGCCTCTTCTGAATCCGGCTTGAACCTGTGGAAGTTCTCTGTCAATGTATGCTTACAGCCGTTTCTGTATTACCTTTAGTAAAAGTTATGTATCCATTTATTCAGCAAAAGTCCAGCACCCCTGGCATTTTGAGAACAGTGTGTGACATCAGTGATGCTTAATATCTGTTATCACTTTTTTCCTGAGTGATGTTTCTATTAAGTGCTGTGAAGTTAGTTCTGACTCACAGTGACCCTGTACAGGATTTCCATGGATCCATTGGTGATTTGCACTGCCAACTTTTCAGTTAGTATTTCAGTGTTTGTCTTACAGTACCACACAAGGACTCTTCCTCAGTAAAACACACACACACACACACACACACACACACATTTTAGCTGCCTAAGATAATTGAAGAATTCTACCAACTTCTTAAGTCTGAAATTGATCAAATATACAATCAGGATGTATTGGTAACTACTGATGATTGGAATGTAAAGATTGGAAACAAAGAGGTGGCTCAGTCACTGGAAAATATGGCTTTGGTGATGGAAATGATGCTGGAGAGAGAATTTTGCAATACCAATTACTTATTCATTGCAAATACTTTTGTAAACAACGTAGAAGACAACTATATACAACTCACAAGACAGAATACAAAGAAGTCAAATTGACTATGTCTGTGACAAGAGATGGTGGAAAAGCTTCATATCATCAAAACAAAGTGAGGGACTAACTGTAGATGAGACCAGCAATTACTCATATGCATGCTCAGGCAGAAGATCAAGAAAATCTAAACAAAGCCACCACAGCCAAAATATGACATTGAAAATATTCCACTTGAATTTAGAGATCATCTCAATAACAGATTTGATGAATTAGACACTAATGACTGAAGAGTGGAAGAGTTGTAGAATGATATCAAGAACATTGTATAAGAAGAAATGAAAAAAGGAATAGAACAAAATGCATGTCAGAAGTGACTCTTAAACTTGCTTTCCAACATAGAGGTGCTAAAGCAAATGGAATAAATAAGGAAGTAAAATAGCTGAATAGAAAGTTTCAAAGGGCAGCTAGAGAAAATGAAGTCAAATATTATGACATATGCAAAGATATGGAGTTAGAAATATCACTGACGTCGATGGGTGAGAACTTCAATGGAGAAATGGAAGTTGTCAAAGTCTTCACTTTGCTCAGATAAACACTCATAGAAGTGACAATCAAGAAATCAAACTACATAATACATTAAGCAAATCTGCTGAACAAGAACTCTTAAAAGTGTTGAAGAGCAGAGATGTCAGTTTGAGGACTAAGTTGCACCTTACCTAAGTCATTATTTTCAATAACTTCATATGCATGTGAAAGTTGGACAATGAATAAAGGAAGACCTTAGAAGAATTGAAGACCAAAGAAGCATTTGAGTTATGGTATAGGAGGAGAATATTAAACATACCATGGACTGCCAGAGAACAAGCAAATCTATGTTGGAAGAAGTACAACTAGAATGCCCTTTAGTAGCCAAGATGGTCAGAATTCATCTTTCATACATCAGCCATAATACTAGCAGGGACCAGTCTCTGGAGAAGGATATCTTGCTTGGAAAAGTGAAGGCTCAGCTTAAAAGAGGAAGGCCCCCAATGAGATGGATTGACACAGAGGTAGCAGCAATGGGCTCAAGAGTAGCATGACTCTGAAGTTTGTACAGGACTGGGCAATGTTTTATTCTGTGGTACATAAGGTTGCTATGAGTCAATACCAACTCAATGGTACCTAGCAACAACAACAAAATAAATTACATTTCCCAAATTTTCTTCTAACTAGATAGTGCCATATGTATTTGTTATTGATACTATAACAAATTACCACATACTTAATATTAAAAAACAAATTTATTTGATTTCAGTTATGGAAACCAGAGGTACTAAATCAATTTTACTGGGGCAGAATCAGGGTTTCAGCAGGACTGGTTAATTCTAGGGTAGAATTTGCTGCCTTGCCTTTTCTAGTAATGTCCTTCTTGGCATCACACTCACATTTTGTTTTTATTATATTTCCTACTTTTGCAACTTATTAATTCCATTGTCGTATCTCAGGCTGATTTAGATCGTCTCCTCACCTCAACATCTGCAAAAATCTCTTTGCCATATGAGGTAGTATTCACAAGTTGTAAGAATTAGCATGTAGCATATTGGGAGACCATTATTAAGTATACCATCACACGCCATGAGTGGAAGTTTTGTGTGGTAGATTCTGAGCAATATTCTGAAAAGAATGATTAATGGGCTACCTCCATCTTGTTGCTTAGAACATATATGTATGTTAGTTCAGAATCTCTATGTTAGGCTATGAGAATAAAAATTATTCTTGGTAGACTAGAAAGCTGAAAGTAGCCTGGACTACAAACAACTGAGGAGCCATCACAACTGAATGTAATCAGAGCTGGAAATAAACATCTATCTTGCATAAATTTCAACTTTCAGCCAAACCTAATTCTCACTGATAGGCTAATGGATACCCAGTCTTCTTCATTTAGACCAGATGTTCATGGTCTAGCTACCTTTAAGTTAAAATATAGAACATCTGCTCTATACATGCTCAGTATGTAAAATATAATACAAACAGAATGCCCATAATATAAACTCCCATTTGGAAAATGAAAGAGTTGCAAACACAGTTGTCACTGCCCAATATCCATCTGATCTCAAAAGTGAAGCCTACCTTTTCTGACATTAGAATAAGAACATCTGGAAAATTCCTGAAATCTTTCTTGTGGAAATGTTTACCTTTCTATTTTATTTATGGCCACATCAAAAGTGAACATGAGAAGATTTATTTCTTGAGTGGTGCAAAGTACATAGCCTTAATTAGTTGGGGCCTGTACATGGCTTTACAGATTAAATAATTACAGAAATTTTTAGGCCAGACCTTTAATTTCTTTGGCAATACAAATCTCTCAAAATTTAGTAGCCATATGATGTCTTTTCCTTCAGTGGGTTCTGTGTTTTAAGTAATTAAAAGTGTATTGTATAGTTTATAATCATAAAGACAATGCTCTCTTATTTCTTGGCCTTTGTTCTCTATCAATTTATCTGTCTTTCAAATAAATAATCGTTACCATGGGACTCTGAAACATTGGGCTTTGGAGTGAAGGCAAAATCCTTACTGTCACCTTTGCCTATAGACATTTATACCTCAGGTTATCAGTATTACTTAGACTTTGAAGTCCCCTATTATTATTGTAACAATTTGAGGAACATCACTGTTACTTTTTCATCCAAATAATGTTTCAGATTAGCACAATCTTAATAAAATTCAAAGAAGACTGTAGACAGAGAGAACTTACCTTAGCAAAGCTGTTTTCTTTTCCCATTTTAATTGTAAGCTGCTATAGGTGTGATGCTGTAAGATTAGCACTTGACTACGACCCACAAGTTCAAACCCACCAGCTGCTCTTCGGAGACCCTATATAGGGTGACTATGAGTCAGAACCAACTTGACGACACTTAACAGCTGCAAAAGCCCAAGTTTATCTGCCATAAGATTTGAGTAAGAATAGCAAGTCACACTTAGGATAAACCAGTATTCTGAATTTGTTTTACAGTTCCCCTAACACCACAGTCTAAATCAACATTTGGTTTGTCTTCCAAACTGAAAATGTTTGGAGGGTATAACAGCAATAGTTACCAACTCTTCAGTCTGCAATATCTTGAATCCTTACCACCTGTAACTCAATATCCTGTACTGAAGCAGGGCCGTATATTTTACATCTTTTGTTTGTAATATAACCACTTCTAGTACTAAACTGATGTCACTTCAAATTAGATTCAGTTATGAGTAACAGATATCGAAAATGATACTAACTTGAAAAAGGTAGAAGTTTATCTTTAACATAAAATTCCAGTGGTACATAGTCCGGATTGATCTGGTAACAATATTTCATTAGGTACTTAGTAACTTAGACTTCTTTGATCCTCTATTTCTCAGTTCGTGGCCTCAACTCATAGATGACCTCGTGGTCAGAAATGGCTGCTCTTCCTCTAACCTCACATTTATGTTCTCAGCAGGCAACAGGAAGGGATAAAGAGGAAGGAAGTGACAGTATTTGCTGCTGCCTTTTAAGTAAGATTTTCAAAGGGTGAAACACAGCATCCCTTTGGCCAGAATTTAGTTATGCTGTCACATTCAGCTCCAAGGAAGTTTGAAAATGTACATCTTATTTTGAGCAGAACTGCGTCTAGACAAAAATCAGGAATTCATTGTCCAGCTTTCACATGTATATATGAGGCAATTGAAAATACCATGACTTGGATCAGGTACACCTTAGTCTTCAAGGGGTCATCTTTCCTTTTAGCACTGTAAAGAGGTCTTTTGCAACAGATTTGCCCAATGCAATATGTCATTTGATTACTTGACTACTGAAATCCTGGAAAATGCCTATATTTTTTCTCCATGAATTATGATGCTGCTTATTTGTCTAGTTGTGAAGATTTTTGTTTCTTTAAGATGTAATTTATGCTGAATGCTGAATACTGTAGTCTTTGTTCTTTATCAGTAAGCGTTTCAACAGGCAAGTTTAAATTTTTTAATTATATTGAGAAATACTAAAGAGTGTTATAATATTTTAAAAACTTGAATTATAAATTACCTTAATTTTTTAAAAATGATTTTCTTATGCCTGTTTCTATTATATTAGTTCTTCTTGGTATCTAAAATTTTTGTGGTTATATTATAAATCTTGAAGGCACTATGGAAGCATTACTATCACCCACACAGTATTTTTTACATTATCTCTACTTAGATATCACCACTCCTCTGTCAGTTTAACATGCTGTGGTGGCTTCCATGTTGTTGTGATTCTGGAAGCTATTGCTACCAGTATTTAAAATACTAGCAGGTCACCAAGATGAGTTTATAGACTAAGACTGATGAGAAAGTAGGAGACATGACTACTTTAAAATATTTAGTCCCTGAAAACCTTATGAATAGCAGTGGGACATTGTTAGAATATTAGGATATTGAATATTGAAACACGACAAAGAGTACCAGAATATTGTCAGATATAATGTCAGAAAATTAGCCTTTCAGGTTGGAAGCCACTCAAAATATGACTGGAGAAGGGCTTCCTCTTCAAAGTAGAGTTGCCTCTGATGCTATGAATGGAGTAAAGTTTTCAGGATCTTCATTTGCTGATGGGACACAACTCAAAATGAGGAGAAATGCTATAAAAATAGGACATGCAATGTACGAAGTATGAATCTAGGAAAATTGGTTGATGTCAAAAATGAAATGGAATGCATAAATATCCTAGGTATTAGTGAGCTGAAATGAGCTGGTATTGCTCATTTCAATTCTGACAAGAACATGGTTTACTATGCCAGGAATGATGAATGTAAGACGAATCGTGTCAGATTTATTATCAAACAATATTTTAAGCTCTACAAGGGTAAGTCAAAAATTATCTGTGCTCTGCCTGTAGAATTTATTTTAGTCAACTTTTAGAAAAATAAATACATAATTTTCAACATAATTTCCTTGGTTTTTAATGCACTTTGTGTATCTGTCAACAAGCTTTTGTATTCCCTTATTTAAAAATGTCCTTTTCACTTTCAGCAAACAAGGTTGTATCATCTGTATATCGCAGGTTGTTAATGAGTCTTCCTCCAATCCTGATACCATGTTGTAGTTCATATAACCCAACTTCCTGGATGATTTGCTTAATATTCAGGTTGGAAACACACGGTGAAAGAATACAACACTGTCATACACCTTCCTTAATTTTAAACCATTCAGTGTTCCCATGTTCTGTTTGGACAAATGCCTCTCGGTCCAGATACAGATTCCTCATTAGAATAATTAAGTGTTCCGGAAAACTCATACTTCGCAATGTTGTCCATAATTTCTCATGATCCACACAATCAAAAGCCTTTGTGTAGTTAATGAAGCACAGATAGACATCTTTCTGATATTCTCTGCTTTCAGCCAAGATCCTCCGGACATCAACAATGATATCCCTCATTCCACGTCCTCTTCTGAATCCGGCTTGAACCTCTGGAAGGTCTCTATCAATGCATGGTTGCAGCTGTTTCTGTATTACTTTTAATAAAACTTTACTCACATGGGATATCAAAGATATTGTCTGATGATTTCTGTATCCCACTGGGTCACCTCTCTTTGGAAAGGCACAAATATAGATTTCTTCCTTTGAGTTGGCCCAATAGTTGTCTTGCAAATTTCCTGGCATAGCTGAGGGAGTGCCTCAAGTGCTGCCTCACGCTCTTGAAAGTTTCAATTTTTATTCTATCAATTTCTGGTGCCTTGTTCTTTGCCAGTTCCTCCAATGCACCTTAGACCTCTTTCTTCAGTATCATTGGCTCTTGATCTTATGTTACCTCTTGAAACAGTTGAACATCAACTATTTACTTTTAGTACAGTGACTCTGTGTATTTCCTCCATTTTCTTTTGATGCTTTTTGCATCATTCAATAATTTCCCGCAGGGAATCCTTCAATTAACGAAAGTCGAGGCTTGCATTTTTTCTTCAGTTTCCCCAGCTTGAGAAATGCTGAGTGTGTTCTTTCCTTTTTGTTTTCTGACTCCAGATCTTTGCACATTTCATTGTAATATTTGACTTTATCTTCTTGAGATGACCTTTGAAATGTTCTTTTCAGCTTTTTGTACCTCCTCATATCTTCCATTTCCTTTAGCATATCTATGCTAGAGAGCAAGTTTCAGTCTCTTCTGACATCCATTTTGATCTTTTCCTTCTTGTCTTCTTAATGATTTTTTGCTTTATTCCAGTATGATGTTCTTGATGTCATCCCACAACTCTTCTGGTCTTTGGTGTTTAATATTTAATGTATCAACTCTGTTCTTCAGATGATCTCTAAATTCACACGGGATATATTCAAGGTCGTATTTTGGATCTTGTGGACATGTTTTCATTTTCTTCGGCTTCAGTTTGAATTTGCATACGAGGAATTGATGGTCTGTTCCACAATCTTCCCCTGGCCTTCTTTTGGCTGATGATATGGAGCTTTTCCACCATCTCTTTCCACAGATGTAGTCACTTTGATTTCTGTGTATTCCATCTGGTAAGTTGCATGTGTATAATCATCTCTTATACTGTCTAAAGACAGTATTTGAAATGAACAAATCATTGATTTTGCACAATTCTATCATGTAATCTCCAGCATAATGTCTATGACCAAAGCCATATTTTGCAACTACTGATCCTTCCTCTTTGTTCCCAACCTTTGCATTCCAATCACCAGTAATGATCAATACATCTTGATTGCATGTTTGATCAATTTCATAT